ACTTTAAAAATGTAGAATCCTATGATCTTTAATTCAAAACGAATTTTCAAGAAGTCAGAAGAACGGCAAAGAAAGTACCGAATCTATATTTATTTGGAGAGTGTTTTCTCTTCAGCTGATTGCCCGAGTTTCATTTCTGTGACTATCTCCTGTGTCCCTCCTTTTCATCTCAGTGATCACTAGTGGATGCTGTTTCCTGAAGGGTTTGGTGCTTGTAGCACCTGTGTTTTCCCCAGAGCAGCAGTTAGAGAAGAGAGTAGAAATATCCTAGATTGACAGGGGGGACTGGCTGGTCAAGAGCTGTGCAGGACGCCTGACCCAGAGACCCATACCCTGCCCTGAAGGCGTGGGTGCAAACTAACGACCAGCTCTGAAGCCTTCAGAGCATTTGGGGGTTAATTATTTTGGAATTTTTTTTCTTGAAGTTGAGTTTACGTGGCTAGATCCAAAAAATTTAGGTTTTTGGAACTCAACAACAGATAATGTACTATTACCCAGTGCTAATATTGCTCCAGGAATGTGCTTCACTGTATTTTTAGGATGACTGCAGTCTTTAGAAAGAAGTCAGTCTGTACTTACAGGCTGGGGAAAACGTACCCAAACAAGAAATTCAGAGAGACAAGAAGAGACAGGGGTCATGGACTCAAGACCTGGTGTGGACAGAACTGGCATTCACAGATTTCAGGAAGAGGAGTGAGCTGGTGGTGCTCTCCGCAGGTGTCTGACACCCGTTGGCATGTGTGACGGTGGACCAGTGGGTACACGGTGTGCCAGGATATGGCACTGACTTACAGGACAGACAGCGCCCTTGTTAGTAGGATCCCCCAGAGCCTCTCATTTGTTAGGGACGGCAAAATATCCATCTGTACCAGCAGGCTTCTAATTTGGTTCTGGGTGAGAAAGTGGTGCACAGGCAAGATGCTGGTAATTGCATGCAGAGAGGTGGACAGCAGTTGGGTGAGGCTAGGTTCCATTTCTAGGTCTAGAGAAACTCACAGCAGGCCTTTCGAAAGGGACACTTTGTCATTCTGAACTTTAAACGCCAAAGTGTCTAATGTGGACGATTCCTACAGTACAGACCTCGCTGAGTCAGGCTGTGCTTTGAATGAAACAGATAGTGGCCTCCGGGAGAAACTGCTCTGGCTGCAGGGCTTAGCGGGGACCCTGCCATGTAATTGGCACCCCCCAAATAAATTTTCTTTCTGACTGGCTGATCCAGTAAATGCCATAAAAATAATAGCATATATTTACAAAGAGTTCTATAAATGTAAGGTATTATAGAAGGGATGGAATAAGCTTGGACCTGGTATTTTCTTCCACGTGGCCCCAAGGAAATCTCTCAACTTGTCTAGAATTACTTCTTTATCTTTTTGCAGTACTGGGAACTGAACCTATGGCCTGTTCATGCTAGGCTAGTGTCCTAACTACCGAGCTACAACTTCAGCCCTTTTAAAATACTGAGGTAGGGTCGGTCTATGCTAAGTTGCCCAAACTGGCCTTGAACTTGTGATCTTTCTGCCTCAACTTCCCTAGTAGCTGGGATTACAGGCCTGAGCCACCACCCTGGCTCAGGTTTTCAAAGAAAATGAGATGTTTCTTCAAGTCCTAGGTTTCTAAACAGAAACAATAAAGTTTTATTAATTTATGACAAAATTAACTTGGATTAGTGATTAAGTTGGTCATAGCATAAACTAGTTTGTTTGTTCATTCACAAAAAAAATAAAGGAAAAAGGTTTGTTAAGCAAATAAAATGGTAAGAGAAGTGTTGAGCCTATTTAAGATACATCTGTTTTCAAGCAATTTAAAAAGCATAGTGGAAGCATCATTAGCATATTAACGGGGTGTTAATTACAAAAGAGCCTTTTAAAGCAGGTTTTATAAAATCCCCACTTAGTAACCATTAGCTTGTGGTATTTGAAACACAAACTATTCACGTGCGTTACTTAGAAGTAATAAAATTGTAATTTAAAAGTAATCTGCCAACTTGTCACGAATTTAGACTGATTTTTCTCTCAGTTGATCCGAATGAGTGAGGTTTTGCTATAATTATATATAATGCTGGTAATAATGAGGCTGATTATCAATCTTTCCCTGCTTTTCACTACCTCCATCATTACAGATTTTAGGGGAGGGGGCGGGGGTAGAAGGAGATGGAAAGAATGGGGGCAGGGAGGGGGAAGTGGAGGA